CCACCTCGGAAGGATGGAAGGCTGAGTCAACCTTGAGCCTGGTGAGATTCGAACTGCCAAATTGCAGGCAGCTGGCAGCCAGCAGAAGTGGCCTGCAGTACTGCACTCTTAACCATTGCATCACTGCAGCTCATAATAGTATCAAAACAGTCACAATCTCTCCATGGACACTCAACCTTCGACATGTTTTCTGTGCTAGTGTTAAGTTGGAAAACAGCTGGGGATTAAGGATTGCTAATCACTGAAATAACCTTAGGAACACATGTACCGTCTATGCAGTTACTGTCCTCCAGGCAAAAGCTGGCTTTGTGGCCTTCAGCAACTTGTGTCCAGTTGCTATCCAGCAGGTCATAGTGGGCAAAGACTTCCATGCTGTGGTAATGCCTATGGAAAGCCAGAAAGAAAGCAAATTTCTGATGATTGTCGATGACGATTTGACATCCTGTATAAACTCAGCACTGATTATGTTACCTGGTTGGGTAATGAAACGTTTGCAAGAAAACCACCAAGCTTAGAGAGTACCAAAGACCCCAACCCTGAGCTACAACCATTCTCTTCGATAAACTCATCTCTCTGTGGTTTAGTTAGGAAGTCATGGTTAAGGCTGGTGAATTCAGGCATTATCTTTATATAATCAAAGCATATCCAATTGTTGTTTGTTTGAGAAACATCAGAATGGCAGTTTATTGTGACTGTGGTATCTTTCCTACCACATAGGTATACACGGAATTTCTTTTTTCACTAAAATAGTATATTAACCTACCTGGAAGCCCTAGCTACTACTCAGCCAAATTTACTACTGGTTAAGCATAAATGCTTTGCACTCAGATGAAAATATCTCCCACATGTGACTATTTCCTGGATGAATTCCAGCTTGGTGACATTAGTCTCGATTCTAGAAGAAGGGCATAAATACTAAGCTTGTCGATCAGAAAGGTTGGCAGTTCAGTGGTTCGAATCCCTAGCGCCATGTAACAGAGTGAGCTCCCGTTACTTGTCCCAGATTCTGCCAAGCGAGCAGTTCGAAAGCACGTAAAAATGCAAATAGAAAAACAGGGATCCCTTTGGTGAGAAGGTAACAGTGCTCTGTGTGCCTTCGAAGGTGTTTAGTCATGCCGGCCACATGACCGTGGAGATGTCTTCGGACAGCGCTGGCTCTTTGGCTTTGTAACGGAGATGAGCACTGCCCCCTAGAGCCAGGAACAACTAGCAGGTATGTATAAGGGGAACCATTATCTTTAACTTATTTTGTCCTAAGCAATAATCAATTGAATTCGTGTGGCATCATAGTCTCAAAGTCCATTCCTGTCAGCCTTTAGCTGTCTTCAAGAGTTAAGAGAATTATGCCTTAGAACAGTGTTTCTTAACTGTGGCGATTTTAATATATGTGGACTTCAACTCCCAGAATGCTGGTTGGGAAATTTGCTACCTTGAGAAACTCTGCCTTAGGAAATTCTGAGTCTTTAGCTGGATGGGCAAGATGATATAGAGCAGGGGTCTCCAACCTTGGGAACTTTAAGATTTGTGGACTTCAACTCCCAGAAAAGATACAGCTCTTTAAAAGGAGGCGACACAAGCGTTTTAAATTGATCGATGGAATTGATAAAAGCCAATAAATCAAATCTCAGTTTCCACAAAGATTAGTGCCTGCAAAAGTTCCGATTGTAGGGACGTTGTGGCTCAGTGGCTAAGACACTGAGCTTATCGATCGGAAAGGTTGGCAGTTCAGCGGTTCGAATCCCTAGTGCTGCGTAACGGAGTGAACTCCTGTTAACTTGTCCCAGCTTCTGGCAACCGAGCAGTTCGAAAGCACGTAAAAATGCAAGCAGAAAAATAGGGACCACTTTGGCAGGAAGGGAACAGCGTTCCCTGTACCTTTGGCGTTTAGTCATGCCGGCCATATGACCGTGGAGACGTCTTCGGGCAGCGCTGGTTCTTCGGCTTTGTAACGGAGATGAGCACCAGTGTCACCCAGAGCTGGAAACGACTAGCTGGTATGTGCGAGGGGAACCTTTCCTTTTCCCTTAAAGTTCCAATCGTCCTGCTCAGAAATGAATTGTGCTTTTCTTGAAGCTCAGTTCATAATTTGGGACAAATTTAATCCAGCGCTGCTTCACAAGACCTTTGATCAAACTAAACAATGAACTCACCTCCAGGGAGATAATACCACTGAGGTACAGTACTCACTTAGTGGGAGGCCTAATTCAAAGTTTTATTTAAACTTTAAAAGTTTAAATAGCTTGAGGGTTGAAGACTTGAAGAGCCATCTGCTCCTATTTATCCTGCCTGGCCTTCTTTTCATCAACATAGATTTTAGCAAATGGTTACAAAGATACCTCATCTCTTTGCAGAGATGTTCACTGCAACCTGTTTTGTACTCTTTTTGTTTATTTTGTTTTCCAAAGTTTTTAGGGCATCGCTGCAGTTTATATGTCCTCTGTGCGTGGTAAGCATTACAATGAAATCTGTTCTCTGTTTATATATTTATATATTTCTATTCCATTTCTGCTACGCATATTGTATATTATGACAAGGGGTCAAAGACCAAATCTGTAATGTTATGCTCCACTTCATTATGGGATGGCGCAGAATCATTTAAGTAAAGAAATCAATATTGTCTACCGATTTGTGCTAAAATAATGGAGGCTGAATCATCTTCCTTGGATTGATTGGGATTACTTTATATCTTTAAATAAATCAGTCAGACACCAACTAAGCAAACAATATACGATTCTCTTTCAGCAGGACATGCCAGACTGAAATCTGACAAGTTTTTCTTCCCTGAAACCTCATGAGGTGTTATGAAAGAATCCGGACATTTTACAAGATTTGGCAAACTTGCAAGATGGAAGTCTTTTGATTTTTGTTTATCAAAATAGTTTGTCCTTGGTTGGGGTGGGAAGAAGCCTACAGATGGCACTTAGAAGGACGATGATGATGCTTTGGGGCCCAATCTTTGAGTATGACAGTTCTGCCAATTTGCACAAACCTGCATTTCTTTCACAGATTTAATGGTCTCGTGTATTAGAAAGCTCTCTCTTATTGTCATTTGTGCAACCAGCATACTACCTCCTCTCCTACTTACAACTATGTTCCAGAAACCTTCCTGGGAGAAAAAAAATATCCTCATCTGATACTTGAATGTTTGAAACGGAATGTCAACTGAAGGTGAGACTCTGGAACTGAGCTATGCTTTCTTCCCCAAAACAAAAGTATTGTATGAATATCTATGGAGACTGTCAGTCATCCAGGATTGGTTGTCTCAGAGATGCTTTCTCAAAAGGCAACTGGACTTTCTTGGTTTTCTCCTTGACCCTGAGGGCACAGATAAACCTCCAAGTGGCCTCAACAACTCTCAGAAAGAATGCAAATGACCAGATGACTGCAAGGAATATAAATCCTTCCATTCTCCACCATGCAGTCAGAACTGAAGAAGCTTCTTGGATGAGAAGAGAAACGTCTTCGAGGAAAAAGAAAGTCCAGTTGCCTTTTGAAAAAAAAAAAAACCTTTGAGATATATTGTATGAATATCTGACCCAGAATTTATGCTTACAAGGGTGGGATTATAAGTATCAGATACGTTGTAATAAGCTTTTCTTGTGAAATGTTGAAAGAGATTCTGGTTGCAAGAGGTTTTAGTTTTTAATTTGTGCAACACCCACGATGAATGCCCACAGACTGGCACATTTGCTTGTGCAAAGACCAAGGGTAGAATCTGAAAATAAGCACATCCTGGTATAAGTTGTGGGAAACCAAGGAACTGCAAGGTAGTTAGCTGATTTGCACCTGAGAAAATAAACCACAGAGGACATTAAACACCTGGCATTCAGTATTGGAGAGATGATACATCAATCTGTTTATTCTACTTGCATGTGGGGAAAGCATTTTTTTTTTAAAAAATAACTGAGTCAGAGTTGCTATAATAATTTTCTTTTGCCATGCATTCTTGGGTTTCTCTATTGCCTGCCTTTCATTGGAACCCTGCTACCCACCCCATTCTGGATCATGAATAGAATTCCACAGCTTGCAAATGGAAAATACAGAGAGCTGTTCGAACGTCCAAACTCTTTCCTTTGAAGTTGGATGCTTGAGGGATTTCCAGTGTGAAAAAAGTCAAACATAAATGCAAACAAGTTCCTCAAATGTGTCTGCCCGCTCAGAAAGGTGTTTATCTTACGCTGTTTATGGACCAGAAATATTGTAGAGGAATTGAGCGGGTATCCCTGTCTATAAACAAACTGGTTTTAAACCGGCTGATGATGAGTTGTATAGCTGCTTCACTTAATTTGAACTTTTCAGAGAGCCCAGAAAGGAAATGATAGGAAAGGACACTGTGAGGTTAAATAGAAAGAGGCCACATCAAGAGGGTGGACCAGACGTGCTTGTTGGTTCGAGAAGTTTGATCAACTGGTGCTATTCGCCTGCCTGAGATGCTCTTAGGGTTCGGGCTCAGTGATTCAAAATACAGGATATTCAGTGATTTTCGGAAAAGATCTGCCAATTGGGAATCAACAGAATGAGATGGACCCCAAATCTGGAGTCACCCAAAAGGGCCTCACAGATTCATACAGAACTAGATTTCTTCCCTGTGCTGTCATAACACAATTTTCTTGGGGAATGATGAAACCCAACTGTGGTGTTTTTAAACCAGGGCTCTCCAAACTTGGCAGCTTTTGAGACATGTGGACTTCAGCTCCCAGAATTCCCCAGACAGCCATGTTTAAATCACAGCAAATTAGTTTACTTTACTTCTTACTTTACTTCTTACTTTACTTTTTACTTTACTTTTTACTTTACTTTTTACTTTACTTTAACTTTACTTTATTTTACTTTACTTTTTTACTTTACTTTATTTTTACTTTTTACTTTACTTCACTTTACTTTACTTTATACTTTACTTTACCTTTTAATTTACTTTTTACTTTACTTTACTTTACTTTACTTTACTTTACTTTACTTTACTTTACTTTACTTTACTTTACTTTACTTTACGTTACTTTACTTTACTTTACTTTACTTTACCTTTACCTTTACTCTACCGTCATTGCACCTCGTACAATGAAATTAAATACCATCTTCAGTGTGTATTATGACTATGAAAATAAACACACACACACACATCCTTCACATTCTGTACACTGAATTGAAAACCCTGAGCAGGTCAGGAATGTGCTCGTGAGCTTGTTGAGTTTGACTCTGAACCAATGGCCAAGGCCACCAATATTTGAACTCAGCCTTTTTTCTTGCAAGTGATCCTGCGTGAGTTGTGTCAACATTCAGTGGTTTTCACTTTTTTCCCCCTCTTTCCTAGTCTACAAAAATGGAGATAGAAAGCAAGACTTGCCTGTGGCATTCGTGCCAGATCCAAGCGTGGCGGCCCGTTTTGGGACGGAAGTCGGCCTGCCCATTGTTATGGATCTCAGAGGAGAAGCGGAAAAGTCTCCTGATACCGTGTGTCACCGAGGTATTGACCGCGGAGGAGGCCAGGCAATTCTCTTCCATGGCGCACTGCAGCACATTCATGGGCCGATCCTCCAGGTAGGATGTCTCTTCTACTTCTTTGGCGTTGAGGACGAGATCAGCCGCAGCTGCAGACATGAACGGAAAGTTAGGACTTTGCTTTAATCCTCTGACTAGCTCGATACCTTTGCTTCGCTACGAAACTCTGTGGTCGCGTTTAGTTTTGGGGGAGGAAAATAGGGGGGGGGAATTGCGCCTCTGCCTAACCGCATCCATCTGTATTCATCTGTCAGTGTGTGAGAGAGTTGAGGGCCTTTTGGAAACTGAAACAGTATTTGTTGTATGAGCAAGGAGACAGCAAGGAGCCTGGGTGTGGCTTAGCTCAACTGTTCTGTACAAAATCTGCTTGCTGCTGTGAAACTAAAACTGAAACTCCTCTCCTCTGCTTGTGTTTTTGCATTTGGAAGAGATTTCTTTTCAGGTGGGGAGGGGGAGTAGAACTCCTTAGCATCAGGGCCTGTTAATAATAATAATAATAACAACAATAATAATAATATAGAAAATACTAATGCTCTGATGGTCATTTTGAAAAGTCCTTTCTTAGTGAGCACCTAGAAGCCAAGAGGAACATATGTGCCAAATTTCAAGTTTGTAGGCTTTACGATTCTGGAGATTTTGCGATGTGCGAGTGGTATTTCGCTTTTATATATATAGATTATTTCCGCTGAAGGATTTGTAGGCCGCCTTGAAAAATGGAAGGTTTCCCAAGATGCTTTTCAAGACTGGTATGCATCTTAAGTTAGGGTTAGGACTCCTATCAGAGTTACTTTCATTTATGAAAGTTGATGTTTAGTGCTATAGCAGAGACATAAGATACGGGCACATTATTATCTGAGAAAGACACCAGCAAAGTGTTTTTATACTACTGTAGAACCTCACGGGACATGAACGATTCTGACTGCGACCAAATCGGATGCCGGCCATAAAAATCTGCTAAATGTTTCACTCTGGTTGCAAACAAATCCTCGGGTGGTAATCAAACACAGATGCAGCGTTTTCCCCTGCCGTGGCGATTTCCCCTTCTGCGCCATTTTCCTCCCTACAAGCATGTGCAGTCAATCTTACTTCCGGTCATGACCAAATCAGGTTGAAAGCAAAATCCTGGAACGGATTATAGTTGTGACCAGAGGTTCCACTATACTGTCAAAAAATCTATCTGGATTGAGCCATGGTGGCGCAGTGGTAAGACTGCAGTACTGCACATTACTTCTGCTGACAGCCGGCTGACTGCAATTTGACAGTTCGAATCTCACCAGGCTCAAGGTTGACTCAGCCTTCCATCCTCCCCAGGTGGGTAAAAAAACCCTTTGGCCTGAGCAAATTGCAGCACTCGGCTCTCTTTGGCTGATCAGAGAAAGCCTGAGAGGTTAGATCTTGTTAGAACTTGAATGGGAGGTCTCAAGAACTCCCAAAGGTGTGATCTCATCTGAAAAATTGAATCTCTAAAGAAGGCAACGGTAGATCTTTTCCATTAAATAAACCACATGGACACAGAGCCTTAAATCATCCTGGTCAAATAGATGCTCAGTCTAATTTTGAAAAACTCCTGTGATGGACAGCCCACAACGCCGAAAGGCAAGCTATTCCATTGATTGTTCATTATTGACCAGTTAATTGAAGATTCATTAGTTGATTAACAAACATTATTGATTGGTTTCAAAGCCAATTTGTTTTGCTAGATTTGACCAGCTTACTTTCTGTGCAGGAAACACCAGCTGCGTAGCGTCCGCCTCCCTTGGGACAAGAGACCTTGGCATCATGAGGACAGTGAGACAAAGCCATTTCTGTCCCAGAGCATTTCATCCCACTCACGACCACGTTGTCTGCATCAGTGTCTCCATACCAATACCAGGTCTCCTAGAAAGAAATACACACACACAAAAAAAGGGCAGGTGATTAAGTATAGATGTTTTGTAGTATGTTTTAAACCTCCTTTCCTACTTCAGTAACCTCTGAATTTTAGATAAGCTATCAGATAGCTTAGGAGAGTTCTTGATTTAAAGGCCAGGATTCAAATTCAGATTCAAATTTAATTCAAATTCAGGTTTCCTGTCTAATTTGTCGCAGGCAATCCCTTCCTTCCTTTATTGGTGTATAGTCTTTACTGATGTGTAAGACCAAAAAAACGTGAAGTAATCATCAGTAAAACCAATGCAGGCAATGTAAAGCACCATACAAGACGTAATAAAACAAAGGAAATCGAAACAAATGTTCCGGCACAGTTGAGTTTGCCATGCAAAAACCTCTAAAGTAAAACCTAAACCTCAAACCTTGTAATGCTTAGCCGTAATGATGGAGCAGAACTTGGCAGCGTTCCTGGAAATCTTCAATAAAAGGTCTGAATGTATAACGTGAGCAATTTCTAGGTTCTGGCCAAACAACACAGCCAGTAAGAAGTGGATATATGAAGGCTGCAAGCCAAGAATCATAAAGAGACAGCCGAGTAAAAATGTGAGCAACTGACTCGGTAGCGCATTCTGGACAAGGGTAACAGAACTCACAACGTGGAGTATTGTCAAAACCTTCCCTCCAGCTGGCGGGGTTTCTTTTTATCAGGAAGTTATCCCAGCAATTGTAATGGTCCCCTGACATACTGATAAAAAAGTTCAGGAGATAATTCTGTGAACAGTCACCTGCAAGCTGCTCCATTACATGAGCCTCTGTGGCGCAGTGGTTAGATGCAGATGCAAGCTGCATCTGCAGCCAGCTGCCTATAATTTGGCAGTTCAAATCCCACCAGGCTCAAGGTTGACTCAGCCTTCCATCCTTCCGAGGTGGGTAAAACGAGGATCCAGATTGTTGGGGACAAAGGGCCGACTCTGTAAACCGCTTAGAGAGGGCCATAAAACACTATAAAGTGGTATATAAGTCTAAGTGCTATTGCTATTATCAAAGGAAAGAAATGTTTCCTTGTCAATTGGAAAGAAGTATCTTAGATGGAAACACAGAAAGTGCCCTAAGGGTCAAACTCAAGGCCCGTGGATTTGGCCCACGGGGTGCTTAGATCTGGCCAGTAGAGCCGCTCTGGAAGCAGCAAAGGCCCGGCCTGCGGTGCCTCTGCTGGAGAAGGTGGAGCTCCAAAGGGCCAGGCCCCACTCAGGCTCCATTTTCGGTGGCAGAGGGCTAGCAAAACAAACTCAAAACAAAACAAAAGCAGAACTGTTTCCCCTTTTCCATTTGAGCTATGCAAGAAAGGGAAAGAGGGAAGACAAAGAAAAAGAAGGGAAGAGAGCAAGGAAGGAAAAGGAAGGAACGAGGGGAAGGAAGAAGAAAGGAGAAGGGGAGAAGGAAAAGAAGAGGTACGTAGGTAGGAAGGAAAGAGATTATAATGAGGGAGGGAGGGTGTCAGGGAAGTCCTGCCTTAGCACTTAACCACCACAGGTGCCCTCCACATGAGTGACATCGAGCTGGCCACCATGGCCACGCCCACCATGGCCACGCCCACCACCCCTCCAAGGTCAAACACAACCCCGATGCATTGGGGAATAAATTGGTTCTAAACTGGGAATAGTGCGGCTGCTGACATTCTTGCAACGTTGTCCCTTTCGTTTCAATAAATCTTGTTAAAGAAGTCTCGGTGCACATATGACCTAAAAGGATTGGCTGAACAACAACGGAGAAGCAAAGCAGAATGTCTTTTGACCAAGGTAGACTCTGGTTCTTTGGGAATATCTTATGAGAAAAGTGATGTTCAGAATCCAAACCGTGGTTTAGCTGTTTAGAAAGTTATACTATGCTCCCCAAGATTCCAGCTGGTTAGTGCAATATTTGAATCAGGGTACGAAAAAGTCTGGATGGAGGGATGCGCTTGGTTTTTGAGGCTTGGCATAAGTAATATGATTCTTACGCCAATAATTTGATCTATTGAAAATGATTACTTAGCCAGGTTCTAGACTATTGTTTTACTTCAAATTATCAATCATATCATCAGCTGGATAGGATAGGAAGCCAACATGACTTGATTCATCGTTGCAATAACATTTGGCAGCCAGGAAGTTTTTCTGATCAGCTAAAGAACCATAAAATTGGGTTCAACAGAACTGAAAATTGTTCCTAGAATAGCTTATAAATTCCTTCCCTGTCTTGCTGATGTATTTACAATACACACTTTATGCAAAATTCAACCCAATTTAAAAGACTTCCAGGACCTAAAAGAAGGACCAATCAGCTTTTCCAGAAATGGAAGCTACTGAAAAACATGGGGTGTTTTAGATTGGCCACCTTAAATAAATTCCTCGTTCATTCAATCGATCAGTCAATCAATCTAACAAAAAGACCCAAGCTTGACTCTTGCTATCTCACTTCAAGGCAAGGCAATGGCAGACACCCGTCACACTCTGCTGTTTGCGTCTATTGTGGGAACTTTTCAATTTCATTGTAGACATGTTGTGCATTGACAATAAATGTTTGATTTGATTTGAACCCAGCTTAAGGAGGGGCCACGTAACACATACATGTTAGACTTCACGTGGCCAAGAAAAAAGGGGGAACCTGTTGCCAGTCCAATAGTCCAGACACAGACATCCAGAATCATTTGTGAATGCGCCCAAGCAGATATTTTATTGATGATCACCTATATTACAAGAAACTTGTCGGACATTCTGCCTTCCCTTGGGAAATGGCAGATGTAGACCTAGAGCAGTGATGGAGAACCATTTTGTTGTGGTGTGCCAAAAATGCATGTGCCGGCACCCACAATGCAATGCACCCAGACCCCCTGCACATGCACGCAGAACAGCCCCCTTGCCTGCACTGCGCATGCGCGTGCTTCCCAAGTGATTTTCGGCCCTTTTGAGACCTTTTTTTGCCCTCCTGGAGACTTGAGGGAAGCCTCTGCAGTCTCAGGAGGCCGAAAAACTGCCTCAAACTGCTCGAAAATCAGCTGGAAGGCTCACGCATGTGCAGTGCAGGAAAGTTTGGCTGGGACTCATGTGGCTCTGCGTGCCACACATACCATAGGTTCACCATCACAGACCTAGAGGGTTTGATCTCAGGTGTTTTCTCCTCTGATTGAACTCAACTGGAACGTCTCTTTACTCCCCCTGATGGAGCTCTCTCCCTTTCAACTGGTGGTCCCACCACAGGTAACTTAATAAGTGATTAAGCTCCTCACCTTTAGATCTAACCAATAGAACAGTTAATGACTGGGAGTGATTGCTTACTCTAAACCAGCTTTGCTAGTAGAAATTACTAGGGATTCCAGATGGGTGATGCATGCGAAAATGAGATGAGATATACTGCAGTCTTCATCCTACTTCTACATGATCCTGGCTTTGAATCGGGGGAGACAGATCAGTGATGGTATTCTACCAGTTTGGCCCAGTTCGGCCAAAGTGGTAGCTACAACGACCATCTGTGAGTAACTGGTTTGCTCCTACGATCAGCTGCTGGGCCCTTCCGCCCGCTTTGGCTCTATACTGATCTTTATTTCCTGCTTTTCAACCTCAGCTGCTTCGCACGGCACAGCCGATTGCCAGGCACCCGCTGTTTTACACACAGGGCTTGCAGCAGAAGGTGAGTTGCAAACGCAGCAGGTGTGCAAAGTGTAGTTTGGGGCGCGCACTCACACCAAACCAGTAGGAAAGCTTTTTGAAACCCACCACTGAGACAGATGCAATCTATATCCTACTTCTACATGATCCTGGCTTTGCATCTGGGGGGGTGGGGGGTGGGGTGGGGAGAGACAGATACTATTTGCAGGTCTGGTCCACCTTTACTTCTTGCTTGGTGTTGGTGGCCCACGAAATATATATAGTCAAAATTCAAGGGCACCTTTGGAGACACCTTCAAGCGATACGCACAATCCTACAGGTTGCATACTTTTGACCGGACTGGAAGCAACTCTTTAGAACTTGGATCAGCTGTTTTCCTGCCAACCTCTCCCCAACCCCCACTGCTGCTCAAATCCATCCACACTGGCCTGTAATGAGAATGAATGACCTGGATTATGAGCCAATTAGAATGGCATTTTCCTGAGCTCACAGAGCAACTTAGGCCTGGCCTTTTTCCGGGAAAATACATAACCGCTCAATAATTAGCAAATCAAACCGCTTGGCAGTTCCCCCACACTACCCCTTCCTCCTGAGTCATGAAGGAGCCAAGGATCTTGTCTACTGTGAGTGAATGAATGCCTTTTCCATCAGCAGTTGCCCTGTCCTGACCATAAGACTTCATGAGAAGATACTCCGCTCCTCAGCCCGCAATAGAATGCCTTATGCCACCAGGCTTGAAATTTTGGACCTAGACAGCTCAGAACTACTCCACCGATGGTCTGAACTAACCTTAGTGCACAAAATTATCTGCTGCAATGTCCTACCTGTCAATGACTACTTCAGCTTCAACTGCAATAACACACGAGCCACCAATAGATACAAACTCAAAGTAAACCGTTCCAAACTCAATTGCGGAAAATACGACTTCAGCGACAGAGGGGTCAGTGCCTGGAACTCACTACCTGACTGTTGTTACATCCTCAAACCCCCCAAAACTTCAACCTTAAACTGTCTATCGTGGACCTCACTCCATTCCTAAGGGGTCTGTAAAGGGGTGTGCAAAAGCGCATTAGTGTGCCTACCATCCCTGTCCTACTGTTCCCATTTATTCATACTTATGTATTATATATACATCTTTATACTTATATGTTTATATGTTATGTTCATACTTATACTTGCTTTCTTATACATGCTTGACAAACTAAAATAAATAAATAAATAAACAAGCAAGCAAATAAATAAATAGGACTGACCAGTTTGGCATCTCCGTGATAGGATCTTTCATGCTAGAGAATTATTCCAGCATCAAATCTGTCAAGTTCACCTTAAATTGGGAGAAGCATCATTACTGTGGACTAGCTACGG